CATGCCTTTCACATTCAGCTGGTTGAACATAAGGAAGCTGGTGAAGCAACAGGAAAGTTTTTCCCGATGATTTTTTTGCAAAATTAGTTTTTTAAGACACAAAGGCAGGATTGTGGCTTCTTTTCATTCACGAAGTCCTTGATTTATCCCAAAATTATTCTTGTTTGAATTCAACAGTTTTTGGGCTGTCTGACACAGTATCCACCCGCAGTTTCAAGACTGAATCTTGCATTCTTCAGTTTCTCAAGACTTTTATTACTTTTGTGCTTAACAGTTTGCAGTTCAATTTGCACGAGCGGCGGGCCAGAACATACGTGCGTAGCTTGACTGCATGCACACAATTTGATTTTCACAAGTTGAGCTGTGCGCGCATGTGCACATGCACTGGACTGCCAATCGTGGTTTCAGCTGTGCCCCCTCTCATTTGCGCCTGCCTGCCACTCGGGCAGCCCGGTTCCAGATAGGCCACAGTCTGGTAATGGACCCTGGCATGGGGATTGGGGACCCCTGTCAAATGAGATGACAATATTGCCATTTTCTTCAAAACTGGAGTTCTATCAGAATCTTAACCTTAATCTTTCCTCTCTAGAAATCTTTTGAGTAGAAAAACACGAAAAGTTCAGAAAAACACAGCTGAGCTATAAACTATAAAAATATTTTAAGTAATAAATACATAAAGACAAACTCAATCAGAAGGTACAGTTTTAAACATCTTTATAAGAAGTACAACAATCAAATGTATAATGTCTTTAAGTTGCAGTCCTAGGAACTTAACTTAGTAATGTTAACTTCTTATCTTGTAAAGCTTCCTGATGGTACCACAGCCTGCCATTTGTGTTGTTGCTGTTACCCTATTAATAGGCAGACATTTATTCAAATTAAAATTGTTTCTATTTTAGCAAACAGAAGCAGCAGAACTGAAATTCTTGGACAAGAAGCATGGATATGAACCACTCCCAAATGGGACTTTTGTCTAGACCTGTTTCCAGTGATAGGATTCAGTTGGTTCACACCACTTTGGCAAAACCGGTAGCTAAATTTTGCTGAGTTCAGAGAACTGGCTGAATGCACACTGCTTCCGGAAGTCCAGTCTAGGCCTCAGAGGCCTGGAGAAGGCCTCCCAGGCTTAGAACAGCCCGCTGGAAGTGTGTGGATGTCACTTCCGGAAGTCCGTTCTAGGTTTCAGAGGCCCAGGCCTGCATCCAATAAGAGAACTGTTTGTTCAGGTATTTGAATCCCACCACTAGGTATATCTACTGGTGGGATTCAGCCAGTTTGCACCACTTCAGCAGAACTGGTAGCTAATTTTTTGTTGCCCAGGCCCAGAATGGACTTCCGGAAGCGGCATCCACCCAGAAAACTGGTTGTTCACATATTTGAATCCTACCACTGCCTGTTTCCAATATGATGTCTATGTTTTGTTTTGTTTTTTGGCTGTCATAAGATGATACTATTAACCACTAAACCACAACCATAATAAAAGGCACCAGGGCAAGTATTCTTACATTACGCAGGCAATTTTTCAAATCTACACATGAAAAAATGTTATATATAATAATAACACAACCTAAAAGTTCCCAAAGGTCAACATTTTTAAAAATAGCCTCATACCTCAGAGAAAAAATGTGTATAGATCCTAGCTCTTCCAGCAGTGCACAATTATTAATTATTAAATTAATTAAATAATTATTAAATTATTAACATATTAAACTGAGCTGCCACAATCAAGGATACACTAGTAATCTATCTAAAAATGAGGTGAAAACTATATTTTTTGCAGAGAAAGGCAACTGCAAACTAAAATTGTCAGATTCAGGAGAATCAGCAGGAATGGCTCAAAATGATCACGTGACTGAAGCCACCATCTTGCCTTTTTTGACTTCCTTCTGCTGTTTTCCCATGTCAGGTCCATCGTTCGTTAGTTAAAGTACTTGGCTAAAAAGGGGTTGATTTGAAGAACGGCAGAGGGATGATGTTCTGGGCTTTGCCAAAATCATTTCTTCCAAATCCTTTTCAAAATACACACAACTTCACACAGATTTGTTGCCGGGTATTTGTGTTGGCTCCTAGGTCCTTGTTTGATGCATTTTACCTACTTCCAAAACAATTCTTAAAATTTTCTATAAATAGCGCTGCATTTTTTTTCTCTCACTTTTAACCTGTTTTTAAAAGTGGGAGAATTTGTTTCGTTTGCTCTCTTTTCAATGATAACACAGCTATTTTACACATTCATTTCTGCAACAATCGTTCTTATATGTATTTTTCTTTAACTATAGGCTTTTTAAATTCAGCATTCCGAAAATCACCAGTTTTCATTTTTCCTAGTATCATAACTTCTTTCCACTTTGTTTCGAAACATTTTTTTTTTACTTTTGTTCACTTTCTAGTTATCCCGTTGAAGGACTAACTCTCAAACAGGTCTCAAATTTTCTTTTCTTCCTTCTATTGTCTCTTTTCCTTCTTTTCTTCCTCTATGTTCATTCTTTCCTAACTTCACTTTTGATACAAATCCCTCCCATATTTGAAACCTCTTACATCCTTCACTAATCGTTTGTCGAAAACGGTCATATCTAATAGGCTTTTGGTTCATTCCTTGCCCTTGTGTGCATATGAACACGCTCAAAGCATGTATTTAAGGCAAAAATAATGACTTGTGAACAGATACTCACCAGTCTTCGTATTAATTCATTCTTGTGTCTCCAAATGGTCCAATGACTTTTTGTACTCTCCTTTCTTCTACCCATGTCTCCCAACAGAATATTTTCCATCCTGGACTGTGTTCAATCTGACAACACATAATCTCAACACTTCCATTCTTTTATAACTTAAACTTAACTTAAAGGCTTTTTTAAAAAAATCCTGTGTCATCTCAGCAAAGAAAATGTATTTTTCCACGCTCATCTAGCTGGGAGGCCCCAGCTCTCCTTGGCTAATCTCAAAGAGTTAGCAGGTGTCATCCTTGTAACACAAGTATGAAAGGGTCAAGAAAGTATGGGCTGGGATGTCATAAACATGTGCTGTAATATTGTGGTCAGGAATGGATACCTATGGATGTGTCCGTTATTGTCTCCATTAGCAATGTAAAGATCATCTAAACATCTCTTCTGCCTTCATCTTCCTAATCCATACTTTACTTGAGTACATGATAGTTGGGTGATCCAGAGATCAATATTTGGAAATATTTAGAATATCTCTTCCCATAACAAGAAGTGCCTACTCTCAATAGTAACTTAGAGGCTGTAGGATTGCTCCAAGACTCAAGTGTGGAAGGAACCCTGGTTGCATTTTTCACAGGATCTTTCAAGTATAGCAGGACCACTGGATATCCCTCAGTGCATGAGGGCTACTCCATAAAGGATAAGAACAGTGGTGGGATTCAGCCAGTTCACACCACTTCGGCAGAACCAGTAGCTAATTTTCTGTTGTCCAGGCTCAGAATGGACTTCCAGAAGGAACATCTTCACAGAGAACCGGTTGTTCACATATTTGAATCCCACCAATAAATAAATGGATAAAAGAATAAATGGATAAAAGAATGGATAAAAAGGGCTTCCTTTAAGCTATGGATCTTCAAACTTGGCCCTTTTATGACTTGTGGACTTCAACTCCCAGAATTCCTCAGCCAGCATGCCTGGCTGAAGAATTCTGGAAGTTGAAGTCCACAAGTCATAAAAGGGCCAAGTTTGAAGACCCCTGCTTTAAGCTGAGTTACAAATAGACGTTCATGGGTGCTACATAATCTTCATGAAATTGTGCTCATAGTTAGAGAATTCCGGTCTGAGGCAGCAACAAATACGCTGGAGCTTTGAATGTGGGAAATACTTCATTATTTAACAGAATTAATATACAGAGCCCTTCTTGATCCCCCAAACAAACAAGCTACAGCTAAAAAGATATACTGAAGGAAGGTGGGTTGGCTGAAACACCATTATGGATTGTGTGTATCCAAGAACAAGTCTGATTCGCAATACAGTAGATTTTCTGTACAAAAAAAACCTGTATGCTGGTCCAAGAGTTTTAAAAAGAAGGCTAGAGCACAGGTCCCAACCTTTAGGGCACCAGGGACTGGTTACGTGGAGAGAGGTTTTTCCACGGACTGGAGGGGGCGTGGTTTTGTGTGCTGCCTGCATCCCGCGGATGGGGCTTTGCTTGTTTGTGTGGACTGGTTGCTGGTATGCCGTGGACCGGTACTGATTCACAGCCTGGGGGTTGGGGACCCCCGAATTAGAGTGATCTAGTCTAGGCCAGCTCTTAAATATAAATTCATGCATGCTTTCATTGCCTTTAAAAATCCATTCTTTGTAAAATGACACATACAATTTGGGTCAAAGAAAACCGAACTATATATACTTTTAAAATTTGTTTATTCCATTGAGTTAAAATTATACTATTTTTTAATTTATATCCCCAAGCTAAAGCAATGAAGGAGTCTGAGATGGCCCCCAGAGTTACTTTCAGTTTCATTTTATTCATTGATTTCCCCCCCCCCCCCGGTAACCTGGTACCACAATATATGAACAATGCTGAAACAGTTAACCTCGGCTTATTTTAAAATAGCAATTGCATGAGAGTTTCACTGTGCCAGGCAGGAGTCACTGAGCTATTTGAATGCACCCAGCCCCAACATATTTTAATTAAATCCTCATCTGACCTCAATGCTTTTTCTGTTCTGTTTTATAAAATCTCCTGTTTTATAAAAACCATCCCTACTGTTCCAAATTGCACTGGGTTGGATAGTTGACCCTCTTGGTGGGGAAAGTTTAGCACTATTTTATTTCAGTAACAATTTTTGGTCAGTTTGGAATTTGGCTCCGGCAATGCTTATTAGATACTTGAATAAATGTAAGGCAAGATAGCTCACGAGCAAATGTATTTTGCTCCTCACGGTGCAGCCCTTTACCCACTTCAAAAGCAGAAAATGGCCGCACAGTTGTTAACCAGAAAAAAATTTACACACCAAATGCAGCAAGTACATAAAGAAACATCTATTTTTCCAGAGCTGAGAGTCAAAACCAATCTTTGTTTTATTGAGTGCCATGCCAATTACATGGATTTCCCACAAAATTTACTCCCAAGAAGAAAGAGAATGCATGAGAAATAAGAAAAACCTGTTGTTTTTGATATCAATCAAAACCTTCCTCCATGTAAGGAAAATGGCTAATTTGTCATTTCACACTGACAAAGGCATGAAAAGTAGAAGAGTGTGCATCTGTGTAGGTGAGGCAAGGGCAACAGATGGAGAACCGGCATCAAGACAACAACATTTGTGCAAAAACAGCTTGAAAAATCACCAAACCAGGCTCTCCTTGGCCTCATTGCTGATGCTACAAACCAGCTTCCATGAAACCAGGTTTGTAACTTTGGCTGACTTGTTCCACTTGTCTGCTTGAGATAAGACCCACTGAAAATGAGGAGTCCCTTTGCAAAAACATATAAATCATTTAAGCAGCGAAAAGTTAAAAATTAAAAAAAGAGAGAGAATATTTTACAAAAAGAAATTGAAGCTGCCCATCTCTTTTGTGCGCATTATTTACACATGGACTTTGTTTTCATTTTATTTTAGTAAAAATATAAAACACAAATTCTGCCAACACGCTACTGCTTCTAACATACTCAAGTGCTCGGAACGAAGACTGAGGAAACGGCTTTCTCCCATCTTATCAACAATGTTGCTTCCCTCCTTTTGCTGGTAGATTTAATTGGACTAGATTTCATTTCAAAGAAACATCTGAAAACCAGCAAAAGAATTAAAATGACAGGGTGAGACGTGGATAAGAGGGACAAAAAAGTATGGTATCTTCCAAAGGAAATGGGTGTTGTCAGAAATCCTGTTGCTTACTCAAAGGAATTCTGCACTGGCCACCCACTTGCATCCTGGATACGAGAACATAGAATAATAGAGTTGGAAGGGACCTTGAAGGTCTTCTAGTCCAACCTTCTGCTCAATTGTCTTCTCAGTTGTCAGTTCCAATCTGTGTCAATGTATCTTTTCAATAGACAGCTGTTAAACTGATTGCCACTCGTGTCCATCTTCTTTCTGTGAAGCTAAGATTACACTGGTTTTATATACGAAGGCATCACTGCCTCATCTAAGGCATTTCTTACCTGTCCATCTATGCCAGGACATTTGTGGCTGTGCAGCTAAGTGAAACAAAGATGTGTCTGTCTAGAAGAAATGTCACAGTCTAACAGCCACATATATTTTTTAGTTTCCTTGAGCCTAATAGTTCAATCGTCCCACAGGCCTTTTGTTCAACCTTGGGGAAGCAAGAGAACAGCCACTGGATATCCTTCATCAAGGAACTTTTCAGATCACTGTTTTATCTCATTTCAGAATTGGAGAATATACAAATCCTGAAGGCTTTCTCCCTCATTACTGGTGTATTTGTCCAAAGATCTCAAATACACTAGTAATTATTCACCGCCAGGTCTCTTTGAGAAGCAACGTTGCTGGAGAGATGCCCACAAGAACCACCAAAAAGTACTTTCCCTTGCACAAGCGTCTTTTAAATAAAATCTAGAAGCTATGTAGATGAGGGCTGGTGATGCCTCCGGTTCCGTTTCTTCTTAATCTCTTGAGCATGCTTCCATTTTGGGCCACCTTTGTTTCGCTGCCGTTTCTTTTCCCGGTGCCACATCTGCTCACAGTACTCATCCAGGCTGAAGCTGGGACTGCTGAGCAACTGGAGATAATCTTTGTATCTTAACCGGGACTCAGCTTGCAGATCTCGTGTCCGGCTTGATTCTTCTTCTGCTCTGTGACTGCTGTCCATCTGTCCGTTCTCGATAACGTTCAGGTTTAACTTCACGATGGTGTGGACAAACGTGTGTTCCTGTGCTTTACAGTAATATGTCCCAGTGTCTTTCTTTTGCAAGCTACGGATTAGCAGCCCATATTCTGTCTTGAAGACCCTTTCATCTGGTTTCAACTGTTGGGTAGAAGAAAAAGAACATTATACATTTTATAGAAAAGAAGTATAAAAGAATGTTGAACCTGGAGAAGAAGGAAATTTTTTTAACCAAATCTAATGCAACACTTCCTTGTGAAGTTCTTTCCTGCTCAGACATGGTCCATATTGTCCTATAGCAGTGGTTCTCAATCTTTTTATACCGGCGACCCCGGTCATAAGGAGGCGACGTGCATGCGTGGCGCTGCCCCCTGCGCGGCATGCATGTGCGCCCCCCCTGTGCGGCACGCATGCGTGGGGCTGCCCCCTGCGCGGCACGCATGCGTGGCGCTGCCCCCTGCACGGCACGCATGTGCGGCAGCGCCCCCTCCACGGCACGCATGTGCGGCAGCGCCCCCTCCATGGCACGCATGCGCGGCGCCGCCCCCTGCGCCGGCTGAGGAAAAAAAATGGTAGATCGCGTTGTTTGGCAACCCCCGTGAAATGGTCGTTCGACCCCAAATTGGGTCGCGACCGACAGGTGGAGAACCACTGTCCTATAGGTATCACATATGATTATTGGTGATTAATTCACAAATAATGTTTGTGATTATTATGCTTCTGCAATCCTTATAGCTTTTTTCCATCTGTCCAGTTTCAAGTTCAAGTAAGAGATACAAACATGACATAATCCTAAAAAATACAGGACATCTGGATGTTCTATATGATTCCTGTGATACAAAGTCTATCTTTATTTCTGGGTTAGGTAGGGAAAGAAACAGAATTCTCAGGTGCAAAACAAAAAAGAAAATGTACTTGTTAGATATCCATAAACTGTGGACATAAAAAATGGAGAATCAGTCGTCTTGCTATCTTGTCATGTACCTGTTCCATATAATTAATACTTTTTAAAAATTCTTTATTTCTAGATATTTCTTCCATGAATGCCACAGCAATTGTGGCATCCCAGATTTTTCTGAACTCATCACCCCTCATCATTGCCCATGTGGAATATGGCTGCTTGGAGTTGTGGGTAAACAACATCTGGAGGATGACAGTTTTACACTCTTAAGCTTCCTAAGAACAGGAACATGACAAGATGGTTAGCATGCCTAGTACTAAAAAAGATGGATTGGAATTAGTCAAAATAGTCAATCAATTCAGGGCATATACTTGGAAGCAATGATTTCAAAACAGATTGAGTATGGTTTTGATCTATGAAGCCTGAAAAAGTAGATGGTACTAAATTTAGATGGCAGAAAAATTAGATGGTAGAAAACTCTACTGTCTGCAGTGGTAGAACTGACAAAAATATGTTTTTGATTAGGTGTATAGACTAAGCTTCTAGGCCAGGGGTAGGCAACCTTGGCTCTTTTATGGCTCGTGGACTTCAACTCCCAGAATTCCTGAGCCAGCATGGCTCAGCTTGGAAACCTCTCCCTTTCCCCTCAGCATGGCTGGCTGAGGAATTCTGGGAGTGAAGTCCACGAGTCATAAAAGAGCCAAGGTTGCTACCCCTGGCCTAGGCCATGTCAAGATTGCTTTTATCCAGGACTACCAACAGGCCTGGTAACTGGTTTTCAAGGAAGACCACAGTGTTGTTGCAATAGAGTTGAGACCGCAGGAATGCTTTCTAATAATAGTGATACAGAAGGGACAGTCTATAAAGGGAGAGAGTTATTTCAAATTTCCATAGCTATTCTAGGCTTTTTGTTGTTGTTCTTTTGTTAATGCAACATTTTAAAAGTGTGCTCTGGACTTATATTCAAATATTGTACAGGTCAAAATGCAATTTTTCTTTTTTCTTTTTCCCCTGAACAAAAACAAACTGGGTTTTCTCTCTGTGTGTATGTGTGTGTTTGTATGTATGCTATTGAGTAGGTTGTATTCTCAAATCTGTTGGTAACAGAGTCGACATAGCATTAAAGGCTAAACCGCAGCCATCTTTTACAGATCTTGTAATCAATGTAGTACAATAAACATTTCCTGATGTTGAAGCGAGTATTGGTTTTCAGGCATTTTTACATGCAATTAATAATTATAGCATCTATTACAAATAACAACTGTTTGCATTAGCTTCTTAAAGGCCTTTGCTGCTGATGAAAAGAACAATGGAGTCCTGTGGTCTAATATTTGCATGACCCAATTCCAGTTTGCGACTCTGATCCACGTATTTGAAAACATAATGGATGGTATCAATCATCCCTAGCAATTTATTCCACAGTGGCTAAATACAAACCCATGAGAAGTCTAGTTGCTTTTAAGATAAGGACATTTAATTGTGGCTGATCCCTTTATTGTACAATATGAATTTCATAGTTGATTTATGCCCTTTTGTTTAGCATGAACTTCTTAATCTTTCCCTGAGTGAGTCTGATTCTAGTTTTATAAGTGGGGAAGAAAATGATTTCCCTATTTATTTCTCTGCACTGTGCCCACGTTTTTGCAACTGTTCCATGCTTATAGCTTCATGCCATTTTATTCCTTGCACAGCTCTCATAAAAAAAATATCTTTCTTCTTTGCCTATTCTGGATTGAATCAGATTACCCAAAAAAGGTCTTTCTCTTTGCACAGAAAATTTCCTTCAATGCACTGAAAATTACTTTACTTAAGGATGTATGACACTCATAAAATGACTTCTGCAAATAATTTGTTAACAGAGCACATTTTCAGACATAAACATTGGACCTAAAAAAAAAAAAAAAAAAAAGAAAGATTAAGGATTTAAAATGGATTTTTACTCTAACTGACAACTATTCCTATGGGACAATTATGTGTCTTTTTTCTTTCATGTGTGAAGTTGAGACAACTTTATCACTTTAACCTAAAAGTTGGTCCAACTGTTTTCTGCAATATATAAGTGTAAATTCCTCCTCCTCCTCCTCTAATGAGAGCACATGACAAGGGTGCATTCTTTTTTCTGTACTGCCTACATCCCAGGATGTGAGACATTGCTAATGTGATCAGAAATATCCTGTGGATATATGCCTGGGGCTTCGGTTATTCCAGAACAACGAATGAAAGAAGCTTCATTCAGGAGTTCTTACATTTCTGAAAGTCCTGTTGGAGCTGGACCAGCAGAGACCTGGTGGCCAGCCAAAAATATAGCTACAATGAAATTTAAAATGGCTGCCCCAAAATTTCCCCTCACTAGAACAGAACGTATCTTAATATCTGATAATCTCATCTTTAGGACATGCTTATGTTTTCCTTAAATGCTCTAAAACAGGTTGCTACACACAATCCATCTCAGAAGATTCATAAGTCAATCTGGCCACTGGACATTTCAGATGAAAAGCTGAGGCTGAGGTATAGACTTGTCAAACATGACCTCCTGATCTTTGGGATGTCTGCTTGGGACTTCCAGGTTCACAGTCCATGCATTCAGCCATGATATCTCAAGCAGGCTTTCTAAAACATGTTTTCACTGAAGTGGAGATAAATCTGAAAGCATTCCCTGACGTGACAAAGTCACATTATGTTCTTCTACTGCCACACTGAGGCCTACAGAATGAAAAGCAGTAATAGTAGAAGATTGAGCTTGACCAGACAGCATGTGGCACGAATACCAGGAAATCTCAGCATTAGGCTAATAATACAAAGTAAATTATTGGGGTAAACTGTTAAGCTTTCAAAAAATGTCCACCGCTGTCTTTAGCAGGATAAGAAGAGGGATCAGATGAGCAAAACAGAAGTGAAAATGGAATGTTGCCCACTTGATTCATGTGCCTGTCTAGCAAACGTCTGAAGGAATAGATTTACAAAGCGAGGAGGATGACAGAATTAAATGTATTCACAGTGGAGCAGATCATGCTGTTCCTTTATGTGAAAAATATGTGGACAAAATCTCCTCTTTCCCTCCTCATTCATTCTTTCCCTCACGTGCACACATTCATTGAAAACTGAATAGCAAGACAGATGCATACATCTGAACCACTGATTGCATCATAGGTTTTAATACCGGTGTTTTAAGAAAGGGAGATTGTCACCAAATAGCAAGCTAGACATAACAAGCAGGGAAGACTTCGGGATTTTGATTTCTCCTGCTTCTCATTTGTAATATGCTTTTGTGCTGTATTAGTGAGGTCCAGATCTACGAAGCTACCAACAAATGGCCAACAATATCATCCAGTTGGTTAGCAAATTCGCAGAAATGAGGGCCCTTTTTTTGGTGGCGACGAAGGAACTTTGAAGTTGGAACTGGAGATTTAGAAATACCCGTCCTAAAGTGTTCTGTTTCCTTTAAAGAAGCATATGAGAGTTTAAGTTTAAGTCAAAGGCAGTAGAAGACTTTGTTGTAAATGGAATATTTAAGATTCCCTTAAATCTGAGTGAAGCTGCAAATGGATGAGTTGCAGAAGTGTTTGGTTTGGATTGCCATTTCATTGTTAAGGATGTTTTAATGAGCAATGTTATTTTGTATTAATTAATTATGGTTTTGTTTTTTTATTTTTTTCTATGTTATTGGTGAGAGGGGCAGCCATTATAAGTGCATCGATAGTCTTTTTTTAAAATAAATAAATAAATAAATGGGATATTATATAGTATGATTTTTCTGTTGTATTTTAAATATGTTGCTTCTGGGAAAAAATGAATGACAGCTGGTCTTGGGCCATAATAAAAAGGTATTCTAGAATAAACCTCTCTATTGTCAATTAGACAAACCACTTTAAAATAACCAGCTTATTTAGAATTGTGACCTGTTTTAAATTAAGGAGTTACATTTATTGCAGATATCTTGCTGGAGAAGTTATATCATTTTCCTCCCCTAGTAAGGATGATTTTATTTCTAAAGTGTTCATTGTGACACAGGCATGCATTAAATTCTTCCAGAGAACATTCTTCCCTTTCAGTGCAATCATTCCATTCAAAAGGAAACAGGCTGTGTTGTCATTGATTAACAGTCCTATAGTTACTTGACCCAAACTTATTTGACCGGCAACTGCAAAGAAAAAAAAAACATGAATGTCAAGATTAAGTAGAACTACAGTTATCTCAGCCAATATTTACAAGTACTTAGCTAAGAAAAACAGCTTCAGAG